CTGTCCCCGAAGTAGTCCCAGCTTGTAGCGCAGTGGCTGTACCCGAAGTAGTCCCAGCTTGTAGCGCAGTGGCTGTAACCGAAGTAGTTCCAGCTTGTAGCGCAGTGGTTGTATCCGAAGCAGTTCCAGCTTGTAGCGCAGTGGTTGTATCCGAAGTAGTTCCAGCTTGTAGCGCAAGTGGTTGATCCGAAGTAGTTCCAGCTTGTAGCACCGGGGTTTGTATCCGAAGTAGTTCCCGCTTGTAGCGCAGTGACTGTACCCGAAGTAGTCCCAGCTTGTAGCGCAGTGGCTGTACCCGAAGTAGTCCCACCTTGTAGCGCAGTGGCTGTACCCGAAGTAGTCCCAGCTTGTAGCGCAGTGGCTGTATCCGAAGTAGTTCCAGCTTGTAGCGCAGTGGTTGTATCCGAAGTAGTTCCAGCTTGTAGCGCAGTGGTTGTATCCGAAGTAGTTCCAGCTTGTAGCGCAGTGACTGTACCCGAAGTAGTTCCAGTTTGTAGCGCAGTGGCTGTATCCGAAGTAATTCCAGCTTGTAGCGCAGTGGTTGTATCCGAAGTAGTTCCAGCTTGTAGCGCAGTGGCTGTACCCGAAGTAGTCCCAGCTTGTAGCGCAGTGGCTGTATCCGAAGTAGTCCCAGCTTGTAGCGCAGTGGCTGTACCCGAGGTAGTCCCAGCTTATAGCGCAGTGGCTGTACCCGAAGTAGTTCCAGCTTGTAGCGCAGTGGTTGTATCCGAAGTAGTTCCAGCTTGTAGCGCAGTGGCTTTATCCGAAGTAGTTCCAGCTTGTAGCGCAGTAGCTGTATCCGAAGTAGTTCCAGCTTGTAGCGCAGTGGCTGTACCCGAAGTAGTTCCAGCTTGTAGCGCAGTGGTTGTATCCGAAGTAGTCCCAGCTTGTAGCGCAGTGACTGTACCCGAAGTAGTCCCAGCTTGTAGCGCAGTGGTTGTATCCGAAGTAGTCCCAGCTTGTAGCGCAGTGGCTGTACCCGACGTAGTCGCAGCTTATAGCGCAGTGGCTGTACCCAAAGTAGTTCCAGCTTGTAGCACAGTGGCTGTACCGGAAGAGTCCCAGCTTTTTAGCGCAGGGGCTGTACCCGAAGTAGTTCCAGCTTGTAGCGCAGTGGCTGTACCCGAAGTAGTTCCAGCTTGTAGCGCAGTGGCTGTACCTGAAGTAGTTCCAGCTTATAGCGCAGTGGCTGTACCCGAAGTAGTTCCAGCTTGTAGCGCAGTGGCTGTATCCGAAGTAGTCCCAGCTTGTAGCGCAGTGGCTGTACCCGAAGTAGTCCCAGCTTATAGCGCAGTGGATGTACCCGAAATAGTTCCAGCTTGTATCGCAGTGGTTGTATCCGAAGTAGTCCCAGCTTGTAGCGCAGTGGCTGTATCCGAAGTAGTCCCAGCTTGTAGCGCAGTGGTTTTGTATCAAGTAGTCCCAGCTTGTTTCGCAGTGGCTGTACCCGAAGTAGTCCCAGCTTATAGCGCAGTGGCTGTACCCGAAGTAGTTCCAGCTTGTAGCGCAGTGGCTGTACCCGAAGTAGTCCCAGCTTGTAGCGCAGTGGCTGTACCCGAAGTAGTTCCAGCTTGTACGCAGTGGCTGAAACCCGAAGTAGTCCAGCTTGTAGCGCAGTGGCTGTAACCCGAAGTAGTTCCAGCTTGGGCGCAGTGGCTGTACCCGAAGTAGTTCCAGCTTGTAGCGCAGTGGCTGTACCCGAAGTAGTTCCAGCTTGTAGCGCAGTGGCTGTACCCGAAGTAGTCCCAGCTTGTAGCGCAGTGGCTGTACCCGATGTAGTTCCAGCTTGTAGCGTAGTGGCTGTACCCGAAGTAGTCCCAGCTTATAGCGCAGTGGCTATACCCGAAGTAGTTCCAGCTTGTAGCACAGTGGCTGTATCCGAAGTAGTTCCAGCTTGTAGCGCAGTGGCTGTACCCGAAGTAGTTCCAGCTTGTAGCGCAGTGGTTGTATCCGAAGTAGTCCCAGCTTGTAGCGCAGTGGTTGTATCCGAAGTAGTTCCAGCTTGTAGGGCAGTGGCTGTATCCGAAGTAGTTCCAGCTTGTAGCGCAGTGGCTGTACCCGAAGTAGTTCCAGCTTGTAGCTCAGTGGTTGTTCCAAATTAGTCCCAGTTGTAGCGCAGGACGTACCCAAAGTAGTCCCAGCTTGTAGCGCAGTGGTTGTATCCGAAGTAGTTCCAGCTTGTAGGGCAGTGGCTGTATCCGAAGTAGTTCCAGCTTGTAGCGCAGTGGCTGTACCCGAAGTAGTTCCAGCTTGTAGCTCAGTGGTTGTATCCGAATTAGTCCCAGCCTGTAGCGCAGTGACTGTACCCGAAGTAGTCCCAGCTTGTAGCGCAGTGGTTGTATCCGAAGTAGTTCCAGCTTGTAGCGCAGTGGCTGTACCCGAAGTAGTCCCAGCTTATAGCGCAGTGGCTGTACCCGAAGTAGTTCCAGCTTGTAGCGCAGTGGCTGTACCCGAAGTAGTTCCAGCTTGTAGCGCAGTGGCTGTACCCGAAGTAGTTCCAGCTTGTAGCGCAGTGGCTGTACCCGAAGTAGTTCCAGCTTGAAGCGCAGTGGCTGTACCCGAAGTAGTTCCAGCTTGTAGCGCAGTGGCTGTACCCGAAGTAGTCCCAGCTTGTAGTGCAGTGGCTGTATCCGAAGTAGTTCCAGCTTGTAGCGCAGTGGCTGTACCCGAAGTAGTTCCAGCTTGTAGCGCAGTGGTTGTATCCGAAGTAGTTCCAGCTTGTAGCGCAGTGGCTGTACCCGAAGTAGTCCCAGCTTGTAGCGCAGTGGCTGTACCCGAAGTAGTCCCAGCTTGTAGCGCAGTGGCTGAAACCGAAGTAGTTCCAGCTTGTAGCGCAGTGGTTGTTTCCGAAGTAGTTCCAGCTTGTAGCGCAGTGGTTGTATCCGAAGTAGTTCCAGCTTGTAGCGCAGTGGTTGTATCCGAAGTAGTTCCCGCTTGTAGCGCAGTGGTTGTATCCGAAGTATTTTCCCGTTGTAGCGCAGGGGGTTGTATCCGAAGTAGTTCCAGCTTGTAGCGCAGTGACTGTACCCAAAGTATTTTCCAGTTTGTAGCGCAGTGGCTGAAACCCGAAGTATTTTCCAGCTTGTAGCGCAGGGGCTGTACCCGAAGTAGTTCAGCTTGTAGCGCAGTGGCTGTACCCAAAGTAGTTCCTGCTTGTAGCGCAGTGCTGTCCCCGAAGTAGCCCAGCTTGTACGCAGTGGCTGTACCCGAAGTAGTCCCAGCTTGTAGCGCAGTGGCTGTACCCGAAGTAGTTCCAGCTTGTAGCGCAGTGGCTGTACCCGAAGTAGTTCCAGCTTGTAGCGCAGTGGCTGTACCCGAAGTAGTTCCAGCTTGTAGCGCAGTGGCTTTTCCCCGAAGTAGTTCCAGCTTGTAGCGCAGTGGTTGTATTCCGAATAGTTCCAGCTTGTAGCGCAGTGGTTGTATCCGAAGTAGTTCCAGCTTTTTAGCGCAGTGGTTGTATCCGAAGTAGTTCCAGCTTGTAGCGCAGTGGTTGTATCCGAAGTAGTTCCAGCTTGTAGCGCAGTATTTGTATCCGAAGTAGTTCCCGCTTGTAGCGCAGTGGTTGTATCCGAAGTAGTTCCAGCTTGTAGCGCAGTGGCTGTACCCGAAGTAGTCCCAGCTTGTAGCGCAGTGGCTGTACCCAAGAAAGTCCCAGCTTGTAGCGCAGTGGCTGTAACCGAAGTAGTTCCAGCTTGTAGCGCAGTGGTTGTATCCGAAGTAGTTCCAGCTTGTAGCGCAGTGGTTGTATCCGAAGTAGTTCCAGCTTGTAGCGCAGTGGTTGTATCCGAATATTTTCCAGCTGTAGCGCAGGGGTTGTATCCGAAGTATTTCCCGCTTGTAGCGCAGTGGTTGTATCCGAAGTAGTTCCAGCTTGTAGCGCAGTGACTGTACCCGAAGTAGTTCCAGTTTGTAGCGCAGTGGCTGTACCCGAAGTAGTTCCAGCTTGTAGCGCAGTGGCTGTACCCGAAGTAGTTCCAGCTTGTAGCGCAGTGGCTGTACCCGAAGTAGTCCCAGCTTGTAGCGCAGTGGCTGTACCCGAAGTAGTTCCAGTTTGTAGCGCAGTGGCTGTACCCGAAGTAGTTCCAGTTTGTAGCGCAGTGGCTGTAACCGAAGTAGTTCCAGCTTGGGTTGATAGTGTTGATAGTTCTCTTGTTTAATGTCCATTGAGTTAACTTGGTTGTGGATGATTCCAACTCCCAGCTTTGCTTACTAAGACATCACTCAACACTATTATAATATAATAATATCTTCATTTACTACAAGTACAAGTACAAGGTATACAGACCATAGCTGACATCACTGACATACTACCATATAGAAAGCAGCTTGTTATGCTGAGCATTTCCCGCAAATTAGGTCCTTGTCCCAGGATGCGACCCACACCAGTCCACTAACACCCAGGTACCCATTTTACTGATGGGTGAACATAGACATCAAGTGTAAAGAAATACGCCCAGTATTTCTACCCTGGCTGGGAATCGAACCCAGACCTCGTCGTGTGAATCGATAGCTTTAACCACCAGGGCACCAGAGCCCATGTATTGCGGAAATCAGTACCAGTTTACAGGTCTTCGTTTTTATTTTTTTTGCTGGTTCTTCGAGGTGTGCAGTCAGTTTATTTCATGAAGATTTATTTCATGGCTGTCAGGGGCAGTGGTCGTATGAATTCAGAGTTCTGCTTTCTGAAGTCTCATGGCGGAAGTTGCAACGATTATATTGGCAACTTGGATAATTCTCTGATAATATAATAAGTCTGTTGTCAAACGGGACCGTGGTAGTGATGATCCCTAGAACCAGTTCCCGTAATACCACGGCAGTCTTGTCACATACTTTCAATGAAGTTGGTAACCTGATCAATAGGGCTGTTTCTGACAGTTATATGCATCCCCACATGCGTACCACAAACCCTTTGACAAGAAGTATATAGGAGGATCGTGTACACATAAATACACTGGCATTATTGTTTTTCTTTCGTGTTTAATACCGTATCTCTCTGACAGCTATGATGCACGTAATGGCGACTTCTGGCGGGCGGGCAACTCCAAGATTCGTGATGCTACCTACGACGGTCGCGTCTCCTTGAACCTGACACAGCAACACAGAGTTCACCTGAACCTGCAGCGTGTTTCCTTGAAGGACCATGGTGACTTCACATGTAGAGTGGATTTCCTCAGCTCCCCTTCCCTCACCTCTGTAGTCAAGTTAAAAGTCTATGGTGAGTAACAAAGAGTCTCTCTCTCTCTCTCTCTCTCTCTCTCTCTCTCTTTGGGCATACTCTTATAACCGACAACACTAATCTAAGTTATATAGGAACACCCGGTAACACCGCGTATGTAGAAGGAAAGAACTGAGTTAAAAGGACATGTACAAATTAACTGGGTGTCTTCAAACCAATTAAACTGGCTTCTCACCCACTAAAACACAAATAGGAAATACAGATCATTTATAATATGTCATAAGGAAAAAGTTTGGTTGAGAGGTTAACTGGATGTTTAACCTCTCCACTACATAATTGTTATTAAGGATTGGTGATTATACACGTGTCACTGTATATACGCTGAGAGACATACACATGTTCCTGTATATACACTGAGGTACACGTGTCACTGTATGTACACTGAAGCATGCATATATTGCTGTATATACACTGGTACATTCATATATTGCTGTATATACACTGATACATGCATATATTGCTGTATATACACTGGTACATTCATATATTGCTGTATATACACTGATACGTGCACATATTGCTGTATATACACTGGTACATTCATATATTGCTGTATATACACTGATACATGCATATATTGCTGTATATACACTGGTACATTCATATATTGCTGTATATACACTGGTACATTCATATATTGCTGTATATACACTGATACATGCATATATTGCTGTATATACACTGAGAGACATACGCATGTTCTTGTATATAAACTGAGACACATAGACACATTGCTGTATGTACACTCAGACACATAGACACATTGTTGTATGTATATTAGCGACATACACATTTCAGTGCAGTGAATTCAATAATACTGTTTACAAATTTAGTTTTTTCCATATATGCAATTTATATAATTTTTAAAATAAATATTAGGTGTTTTCTGCCAAATAAGCAGAACAAAAATTTGTTTTTGCCAAAAGTCAACGAAAATTCATTCTGAAGATAACGAAAAAATGTATATAACTGACTGACTTTAAGTATACTGCTTGTGAAGGATGGTGCGCCAAATGGGAATAATAGTCTCCCACATAACTGTAAATCCTCGGACCAAGAGTAACACACCTAGCTTGGCTGGGTGCTTGGTTCTTGTAGGATTGTGTGGTCCTGTGGGCCAAGGCGTCATGTGATTTTTGCTCACCATAAAGCAAGGCCAAAAAGATTTGGGTTCGAAATCTCGGCCTGTCGCAGTGTTGTTATTGATTCAGTAACACTCGTTCGTGGCCACGATAATATATATATATATATATATATATTATATATATATATATATATATATATATATATATATATATATATATATATATATATATAATGTATGTATGAATAATGTAGAACACGTTTTCTTACCAGCGAACCCCAGCACAGGTCCCACTGTGAAGGTGTTGGGTAGCGGTCTACCAGAAGAATTAACACTCAGGCTACGGTCTGACGTGGGTCCTTTCCAGGAAGGAGAGAAGCTCAACTTATCGTGCACCGTTATTGGTGGTAAGCATTATCTCTCTCCAACCATCTTGTAAGACTGTTGTCTGAAAGGAGAGGTCAACTTATTCTTGAGAACCGTCGACGGTAAGTTGTAACTTACTGTTTTCCAGTACCGTCAACGCACGTGAAACAGTCAGCATATCCAGCACCTTAAATAGTGTTAAGTAACATTTCTCTGTTTCCCATAATTGTCGTCATACAGGAGAGAAAGTCAACGATATTCTGCACTTCTGTTAGTGGTAAGTACCGCCTCTCCTACTGTCTTCCAGTACTGTCGTCATACAGAAAAGAATCTTTATTTATCTTTCATTATTACTGGCAGCATGTCCTAAGGCACTGCCTAATAAAATCACATATTAAAATATATTGTCCAATTATAACAGCTTGTATTCTGCCTCAATGTACTTTATATGCCGTCCAAAAGAACTAACTTACTTTCTGTGTTAGGAGACAATGATAACGAGTGTCGTCTCACCCATAATGTTTGACTTGCACCAATGTACCTATTTACTACTTAGTGTAGTAAGTGTGGAGATACTTGTCCACACATCCTGCCATATCTAGGTTATGACCAATATTAGTCGAAAACATCCAGGTACCTATTACTAATATCTGAACACAGGCACTTAATCTTACTTAAGATAATATTATCTAACTTAAGCAAATCAATTTCTTTCTAGCATAATTTAATTAGTGCAGATCTAATTGAACCTAATTTTATAGAATCTAATTTTTTTTTTGTCACGTTAAAGCCCTTCTCGAACATAGTAATAGTAAATTCTTCTTTCAACGCACCAGCAGTGTCCCACCGAGGCAGGGCATCCCGAAAGGAAAAACGAAAATTTCTCCTTTTAAATTTATATATACAGAAGAAGGGGTTACTAGCCCCTTGCTCCCGGCATTTTAGTCTCCTCTTACAACACGTATGGCTTACGGAGATAGAATTCTGTTTCACTTCCCCATGCAGTGTAAGTGATTATGTTAGGTAAAATAACACAGTTGCAAGTAATGTGACGTTTCATTATGGCAACGTCTCGCCGTAACTACTTGACAAAGCTCCTGGAGAGCGACATATTGCCATAATAATGCTACATTAGTTACACCCGTATCCTTTTACTTTCCTTGATCTGTTCTGTTCGCCAGTAGCTGTGAATCGACCCCTGCAACCACAACTAGGTGATTACAATATTTAAGAAAAGGAACGCCAACATGGAAAACCTTAACGAGTTATTTTCACCACAACGGAACTTATTTTTTTCCTATGGGAATAAATACGAGACAGTATAATTACTATCTTTTTCTGCCTCTCGTAGGCACGTTGTAATTATCTCACACATACGAGCTTAAGAATGGAGGAACGTTACACAAACATTACTGATCTATGCTCGGCAGGTCAATCGCAACACACAACCATATTATTTTAATTTTTAGTAACACATCGGCCGTTTCCCACCAAGGCAGGGTGGCCCGAAAAAGAAAAACTTTCACTATCATTCACTCCATCACTGTCTTGCTAGAGGCATGCTTACACTACAGTTATAAAACTGCAACATTGACATCCCTCCTTCAGAGTGCAGACACTGTACTTCCCATCTCCAAGACTCAAGTCAGGAGTGCTGGTTTCCCTGAATCCGTTCATAAATATTTCCCTGCTCACACTCCAACAGCACGTCAAGTCCTAAAAACCATTTGTCTCCATTTGCTCCTAACACGCTCACGCACGTTTGCTGGAAGTCCAAGCCCCTCGCACAAGAAACCTCCCTCCCTCTAGCCTTTCCTAGTCCGACCTCTATCCAACCTTTCCTCAGCCCTCTGGATAATAGTTTTGGTAATCTCGCTCCTCCTACTAATTTCCAAACTACGAATTCTCTGCATTATATTCACACCACACATTGCCCTCAGACATGACATCTCCACTGCCTCCAGCCTTCTCCTTGTTGCAACATTCATCACCCATGCTTCACACCCATATAAGAGCGTTGGTATAAATATACTCTCATACATTCCCCTCTTTGCTTTCATGGACAAAGTTCTTTGTCTCCACAGACTCCTCAGTGCACCTTTTTCCCCTCATCAATTCTATGATTCACCTCATCCTTCATAGATCCATATGCTGACACGTCCACTCCTAAATATCTGAATACATTCACATCCTCCATACTCTCTCCCTCCAATCTGATATCCAATCTTTCGTCACCCAATATTTTTGTTGTCCTCATAACCTTACTCTTTCCTGTATTCACTTTTAATTTCCTTCTTTTACATACCCTACCAAAATCATCCACCAACCTCCGCAACTTCCCTTCAGACTCTCCCAAAAGCACAGTGTTTTTAACTACTCTTTTCTTAATGCTACTCAAGACATTTCCATTAAAGACGAAATTTTAACGCTACAACTCTACTGCCAAATCAATTTGTTTTCAATATCCTTTGAATTACAAAATTTATTCAGCGTAAATCCTTTTTTATGTGTTTCAAAATGCGCTCACATGAGTATTTTTTTACCCCTCCAGAAACTGAAAGAAAGCAAATTGAAATTCAAGCAAGCATAAACATCGTTGTCTGGGTAGTTACAAGCAGCCAAAAGCAACTGAACAAATAAACAGACTGGATGCTTGGTGCCGCCATTGTTTGTTACCAGTTAGCGGCTTTTGCTTACAAACAAAACATTTCAGAACTAACGTAAGGTTTGTGTAGGAAAAATTGAATTAATGAGAGAAGTAGCGTCGGATGAAGCATTTAGGAAGGTATTCTGGTGGATATTTTTGAAGGGACTTGTGAAGCTTCAAGTGGATACAAGTGATGTTAGTGGAAGAGCGAGTGGAAGAGCGAGTGGAAGAGCGAGTGGAAGAGCGAGTGGAAGAGCGAGTGGAAGAGCGAGTGGAAGAGCGAGTGGAAGAGCGAGTGGAAGAGCGAGTGGAAGAGCGAGTGGAAGAAATTAAAATGCTCTCAAGGATCAACACTTTGAAGTTAGAAAATCCATTGCTGTACTAACCCATTCTCTTGCCAACCCATTCTTGCAGAAACCCATTCTCCTGCCAACCCATTTTCCTCCCAACCCAATCCTGCAACAACCCATTCTCCTGACATCCTATTCCTGCAACAACCTATTCTTCTGCCAACCCATTTCTGCAACAACCCATTCTTCTGCCAATCCATTCCTGCAACAACCCATTCTTCTGCCAACCCATTCCTGCAACCCATTCTTCTGCCAACCCATTCCTGCAACCCATTCTTCTGCCAACCTATTCCCGCAAAAACTCATTTTCCTCCCAACCCATTCCTGCAACAACCCATTCTCGTGCTCAGTAACGCCGTTTTCATTATTCTTTATCTGAATCACTAAATCGTAATAACAGAGTTCCAAAAAGATCGGAACGGGTGGGGGTTGAAACCATGGCAAGTGAGCCCTAAAACCGACAGGCCAGTGTGTTAACTACTCCAATTTCAAAAACCTGGATTTGTGGTCACAATAGTGGCCCGTGCTAACCTCCCTATGGTGTACAGAAATATACCTATTTGGAGGAGTTTTATTAGAGCCAGCTGGCTCAGTGGTTAGCGCACTGGCCTGTGAGTTTTAGAAATTGCTTGCGATTAGTTCAAACCCCACCCGTTCCCTTAATTATTCCTAATCTGCTGAGACAGGTTTAATAAGCTTTCTTTTGTTTATTTATTTATGAGTAAATAAATAAATAAACTCTCTGAAAGCATTTTGTAATTTAACAATCTGTTCTATCCAAACTTAATCTATTCAAACACAACCTAACTTAATCTAGCCTAATTAAACCTAATCTAGCTTTATCTTACCTTACATATACTACTTAAGCTAATATACGGTGACCCGTGGCCTGATCGCTAAAGCTTTTGCTTCACACAGCGAGTTTCTGCGTTCCATTCCCAGCGAGGGTAGAAACATTGGGCGTGTTTCATTACACCGGTTGTCTATGTTCACCCATCATTAAAATGGGTACCTGGGTGTTAGTGGACTGGTGTGGGTCACATCCTGGATGTTACTAGACTTGTGTGGGTCATACCCTGGATGTTACTGGACTGGTGCAGGTTACATCCTGCGTGTTAGTGGATTGGTGTGGGTCACTTGATGGGTGTTAGTGGACTGGTGTGGGTCGCATCCTGGGTGTTAGTGGATTGGTGTGGGTCGCATCCTGGGTGTTAGTGGACTGGTGTGGGTCACATCCTGGGTGTTACTGGATTGGTGTGGGTCACATGATGGGTGTTAGTGGACTGGTGTGGGTCGCATCCTGGGTGTTAGTGGACTGGTGTGGGTCACATCCTGGGTGTTACTGGATTGGTGTGGGTCACATCCTGAGAGTTACTGGACTGGTGGGGGTCACATCCTGGGTGCTAGTGGACTGGTGTGGGTCACATCCTGGGTGTTACTGGACTGGTATAGATCACATCCTGGGTGTTACTGGACTGGTGTAGGTCATATCCTGGGTGTTATTGGACTGTTGTGGGTCACATCCTGGGTGTTACTGGACTAATGTAGATCACATCATGGGTGTTACTGGACTGGTGTAGGACATATCCTGAGTGTTATTGGACTGGTGTGGGTCACATCCTGGGTGTTACTGGGCTGGTGTGGGTCACATCCATAATGTTATTGGACTGTTGTGGGTCACATCCTGGGTGTTACTGGATTGGTGTGGGCCACATCTTGGATGTTACTGGACTTGTGTGGGTCACATCCTGGGTGTTACTGGACTGGTGTGGGTCACATACTGGGTTTTACTGAACTGGTGTGGGTCACGGCCTGGATGTTACTGGACTGGTGTGGGTCACATCCTGGGTGTTACTGAGCTAGTGCGGGTCACATCCTGGGTGTTACTGGACTGGTGTGGGTCACATGCTGAGTGTTTGTGGATTGGTGTGTGTCACAACCAGGATGTTACTGGACTGGTGTAGGTTACATCCTGGGTGTTAGTGGACTGGTGTGGGGTCATATCCTGGATGTTACTGGACTGGTGTGGGTCCCATCCTGGATGTTACTGGACTGGTGTGGGTCACATCCTGAGAGTTACTGGACTTGTGTGGGTCACATCCTGGGTGTTAGTGGACTAGTGTGTGTCACATCCTGGGTGTTAGTGGACTGGTGTAGGTCATATCCTGGGTGTTATTGGACTGTTGTGGGTCACATCCTGGGTGTTACTGGACTGGTGTAGATCACATCTTGGGTGTTACTGGACTGGTGTAGGTCATATCCTGGGTGTTATTGGACTGTTGTGGGTCACATCCTGGGTGTTGCTGTACTGGTGTAGATCACATCCTGGGTGTTAATGGACTGGTGTAGGTCACATCCTGGGTGTTACTGGATTGGTGTAGGTCACATCCTGGGTGCTACTGGACTGGTGTGGATCACATCCATAATGTTATTGGACTGTTGTGGGTCACATCCTGGGTGTTACTGGATTGGTGTGGGTCACATCCTGGGTGTTACTGGACTGGTGTGGGTCACATCCTGAGAGTTACTGGACTGGTGGGGGTCCATCCTGGGGTTACTGGACTGGTGTGGGTCACATCCTGGATATTACTGGACTGGTGTGGATCACATCCTGGATGTTACTGGACTGGTATGGGTCACATCCTGGGTGTTACTGGACTGGTGTGGGTCACATCCTGGAAGTTACTGGACTGGTGTGGGTCACATCCTGAATGTTACTGGACTGGTGTGGGTCACGTACTGGGTGTTACTGGACTGGTGTGGGTCACATCCTGGATGTTACTGGGCTGGTGTGGGCCACATCATTGATGTTACTGGACTGGTGTGGGTCACATCCTGGATATTACTGGACTGGTGTGGATCACATCCTGGATTACTGGACTGGTGGGGTCCAAAATCATGGATTTTTACTGGACTGGTGTGGATCACATCCTGGATGTTACTGGACGGGTGTGGTCACATCATGGATTTAGTGGACTGGTTGGGTTTCACATCATGGATTTTTGTGGACTGGTGTGGTCACATCCTGGGTGTTACTGGACTGGTGTGGGGTCACATCCGGGGTGTTACGGAGTGGTGTGGGTCACATCCTGGGTGTTACTGGACTAGTGGGGTCAAAATCCTGGGTGTTTCTGGACAGGTGTGGGTCACATCCTGGGTGTTACTGGACTGCTGTGGGTCACATCATGGATGTTAGTGGACTGGTGTGGGTCACATCCTGGATGTTACTGGACTGGTGTGGGTCACATCCTGGGTGTTACTGGACTGGTGTGGGTCACACCTGGGTGTTACTGGACTGGGGGTGGTCACATCCTGGGTGTTACGGGCAGTGGTGCGGGTCACATTCTGGGTGTTACTGGACTAGTGTGGGTCACATCCTGGGTGTTTCTGGACTGGTGTGGGTCACATCCTTGGTGTTACTGGACGGTGTGGGTCAAAATCCTGATATTCTGGACTGGTGTGTGTCACATCCTGGGTGTTACTTGACGGGTGTGGATCACATCCGGGGTGTTACTGGACTGGTGTGGGTCACATCCTGGGTGTTAATTGGACTGGTGTGGGTCACATCCGGGTGTTACGGACTGGTGTGGGTCACATCCGGGGTTGGTTACTGGACTGGTGTGGGTCCATCCGGGTGTTATGGACGGTGTGGGTCACATCCGTGTTTTACTGGACTGGTGTGGGTACATCCCTGGTGTTACTGGACTGGTGGGGGTCACATCCTGGGTGTTACTGGACTGGTGTGGGTTACATCCTGGTGTTACTGGACTGGTGTGGGTACATCCTGGGTGTTACTGGACGGTGTGGGTCACATCCTGGTGTTACTGGACTGGTGGGGGGTCACATCCTGGGTGTTGCGGGACGGGTGTGGGTCACATCCTGGGTGTTACTGGACTGGTGTGGGTCACATCCTGGGTGTTACTGGACTGGTGTGGGTCACATCCTGGATGTTACTGGACTGGTGTGGTCATATCCTGGGTGTTACGGGACTGGTGGGGGTCCCCATCCTTAAATTTTAAACGGACGGGTGGGGGGTCACATCATGGATGTTACTGGACTGGTGCTAGTCACATCCTTGGTGTTACTGGACTGGTGTGTGTCACATCCTGGGTGTTACTGGACTGGTGTGGGTCACATCCTGGGTGTTACTGGACTGGTGTGGGTCACATCATGGATGTTACTGGACTGGTGTGGGTCATATCCTGGATGTTACTGGACTGGTGTGGGTCACATCCTGGGTGTTACTGGACTGGTGTGGATTGCGTCCTAAACCACTAGCCGGAAAAAATAACTAATGAAAAAACACTAGACGGAGAAAAAATCACTATTAAACAAACCGAAATGAACTACCAGCTGGAAATAAAACCGTAGTTATAAACCACCTGGTATAAATAAACCACTAGACAAAAATAAATCACTAGAGAAATAAAATAGAAAGAACAGAAATAAACCACTAGCTGGAAACAAACCACTAAAACAAAAATTATAACACTGGTAAGAAATTATTAATCAGCATCCATAAATAAACGACTGGCAAGACAAAACTATTAACTAGAAATAAACCCATAGACAGAAATAAACCACACTCCAAAAAGAGTGCGAAATAAAGCACTAGTTAGAATAAACACCAACTAGTAAAAACTAGATAAACCAATAGTTAAAAACAAACCACTAACAAGAAATAATTCACTAGCCTTAAATAAACCACTGACCCACAGTAAACAACTTTCCGGAAATAAACCATTTGCCAGAAATGAAATAAACTATTTGTCAGAAATAAACCACTTGTCAGTTAATAAACCACTATCAAAAATAAACCACTTGTCAGATATTAACTATCCAAAAAATAAACCACTTGTCAGATATTAACTATCCAAAAAATAAACGACTTGTCTGAAATAAACCAGTTGTCAGAAACAAACCACTAGCCAAAAATAAACCACTTGTCAGAAACAAAGAACTACCAAAAATCCACAGCAGCTGCCAGATGCACAATGCAATAATAACATCTAAAGAGAGCAATTGATATTTAAGCATAAATCTGGAGTAAGTTCGTGTCCAGTCGTACGTTACTAGAACGATCCCTTCATTCTTGGTAAACTCTGATCGATTCCTGAGACGGATGAGCTGTTGAGGTACCTGGGTACGAGTCAACTGTAGTTAGGTTACGTAAGATTAGTCAGGAAACAGGACAAGTGTTACCTGACGCGGGTCTTAGTCATATGATGACCCATCGTTGAAGTTTTCGATCATCTGACTGAGGCCTTCTGCTGGCTTACCTGTTGACATTAATTGACTGTAGTGAGTAGCATCCAAGAACAGAGGAGAGGAATTAGCAACTGTGCTAACACCTGGTGCCCCTGTTCATGTTTCAGGAAATAAGTACCTGGGGAGCTAATCAATGGCATTCTTAGGGAGTAACTGACTTGTAGATAACTTAGTTAACGTGCACAACATGTACAACACTTGGCTATCTTTTTAAGATAGCCACACAGGGGCCTCTTCAGTTCAGTACATATGTTGTATTCTTATCAAGATTGATGGACTGATTATATCGACTCCTAGCTGAGGGACTGATTACCTAAAATTCCTTCTGATACTCACCATTCTTTGTATTGGACTGGTGAAGCCACTGTGTTACGAAACGTTTCCTTAAAAAAGACACCCAAGTGTTGCACATACGTCAGTAGGTATCGTCCCTAACGAAAATAAGCCAAACTACTGGTCTTTCTAGGGTTATTCTTTGTTATAATCAGTCATGGAAAATAATATCTCTGCTTCAGGTGTACCAGCGCCGAGGGTAACGTGGTGGCAGGGAGCGAAACTAATAGACAACAGTAGTTACGTGGTGAGCAACAGTGGTCTTACGCACACTGTTAATGACGTGATGGTGGGACCACTCACACGAGACCTGGTACAAGCGCCCTTCATCTGTAGGTCGGAGAACAACCCACTCTCTCCACCCATGGACCGTACAATACATCTTAAAATACATAGTCAGTATCAATCGTCCTCAAATTGTGTGTGTGTATGTATGTATTCACCTAATTATAGTTGCAGGGGTCAAGTCATAGGTCCTGGTCCCTCCTATTCACTGATCGCCACTAGATCCACTCTCTCACTGCTTATCGTACCTCTTCTTAAAGTTATGTATGGCTCCTGCCTCCACTACATCATTCTTCAGATTGTTCTACTTCCTGACAACTCTGTGACTGAAGAAGTGCTTCCTAACAATCCTGTGAGTCATCTGAGTTTTAAACTTCCAGTTGTGACCCCTTGTTGCTGTGTCACAGCTGTGAAACATTCTGTTCCTATCAACCCTAACTTTGTCAAATCCTCTCAGTATTTTATATGTTATCATATCTCTCCCCCCCCATGCCTTCTGTCCTCCAGTGTTTATCAGGGTGAGATGAACTTGGCTTTTGATGTTGTGTCATTCTCAAATTGTTGTTCAGTCTCTCTCCTCACTCATGCATATTTATTTCTGGCTCTTCTCCTCGTTTCCTTGTTTTCTTGAGTTCTGTGCCTTTTATATTGTTTATATTCTTTATTACGTATATATTGTGCCTCTTTGTAACTCTGGGTGAACCACGGACTTTGTAACTCTGTGTGAACCATGGACTTAATCTGTAACTCTGTGTGAACCATGGACTTACTCTATAACTCTGGGGGAACCATGGACTTACTCTATAACTCTGGGGGAACCATGGACTTACTCTATAACTCTGTGTGAACCATGGACTTACTCTATAACTCTGGGGGAACCATGGACTTACTCTATAACTCTGTGTGAACCATGGACTTACTCTATAACTCTGGGGGAACCATGGACTTACTCTATAACTCTGGGTGAACCATGGACTTACTCTGTAACTCTGGGTGAACCATGGACTTACTCTATAACTCTGGGTGAACCATGGACTTACTCTGTAACTCTGGGTGAACCATGGACTTACTCTATAACTCTGGGTGAACCATGGACTTACTCTGTAACTCTGGGTGAACCATGGACTTACTCTATAACTCTGGGTGAACCATGGACTTACTATATAACTCTGGGGGAACCATGGACTTACTCTGTAACTCTGGGTGAACCATGGACTTACTCTGTAACTCTGGGTGAACCATGGACTTACTCTATAACTCTGGGTGAACCATGGACTTACACTCTTCTTTCCAGTGCTTTTGTTTATGTCCTGGGTATGAATATCTCTTCTGCCTCCTGGCACTTTCTGGCCACGTACTCAGTCGTCTCACTTGCTATCATTTCCTTTTCCCTGGGCAGCTCCTTCAGGAATTGTCTCATGCCTGTGTAGTCTCCTGTCTTAAAACTTGGTTCCTGACACCCTTCCGGTGCAACTTCTCTCTCCAAGCTTACTTTTACAATGTATTTGCAGCTGAGGACCATTTGGTCGCTACCACTGAGGGTACAATTGGCGTTATATCTACAGTTCACAGTTACAAGCAAATTTAGGAAATTTGCTCAGTATATATGGTATCTTATTTTCATCATTATTTTACTGTCCTCAATAAGTGAACAATTAAGCCCATAGTGTTCAAGACAGTGATCATATGCCTGACCACATAATTTGTATTTGGTTTGATCATCATATCATGACTGGGTATTTGTGTATTGTTCCAGTCAGGGTATTGTGCCTTTATGTTCTTTATTTATAATAATAATAATAATAATAATAATAATGGTGTATGTAACAGTGGCGCCGCACCAGGTAGTACTGACGGAGGGGGTGATGGTAGAAGCGGGTGTTGAAGAACGTCTGGTATGCAAGGCTAGGGACACCTACCCTCAAGCTAACATCACTTGGACGCTTGACGGCAAGAAACTCAACTTTACTTCTAAGGAGGTAAGTCTTCTCGCCAGAGTTGTTAGCATTATACTCTTAGGGAAGTTGTAATCCCATAGACACCTTGTTATTATTGTCTAGAGAATGGTGCTAACATGTTATTGATACAGGGATTCGACAAACGCTTGTTCAGTAGCCTTGACAACAGCCTGTGAACCAGATTTTTACAAGTCAGTTCGGAATAATACTTAGCAAACAAATTTATGCCAGTAGAGGTGTACCCAGACGGAGTAAAAACGTATGAGATCATTGAAGGAATGCGCATCTACTTCAGGTTTGCTATGATTTACAACTGAGGTCTACTGGATCCCATATATATATATATATATATATATATATATATATATATATATATATATATATATATATATATATATATATATATATATATATATATATATATATATATATATATATATGTCGTGCCGAATAGGCAGAACTTGCGATCTTGGCTTAAATAGCAACGCTCATCTTGCCATATAGGACAAGTGAAAATTTGTGTATGCAATAATTTCGCCAAAATCATTCTGAACCTAACGAAAAAAATGTATTTGATTGTGTTAGTTTAGTACTAAATTATTGTAAACGTATTTTAAATATATTTAGTTGGGTTAGGCTAAAATAAATTACTCTTGTTATAATAAGGTTAGGTAAGTCTTCTAAGATTCTTTTGGTGCAAAATTAAATTTTTTTACATTAACATTAATGAAAAAAATATATCTTTAAATGTATAAGAGAAAACTTAAGAAAGGACTTAATTTTAAATGAGTTCTTGCTAATTGACCAGTTTTACATATTCGGCACGATATATATATATATATATATATATATATATATATATATATATATATATATATATATATCTTCAGTGCTGGGCTCTATCCTCGTCCGTGTTATGGTTTGTTTGTAATCGTGTCATTACGATTTCGTGAGTCTTTCAAGCACATTTATCTTGCTTTATCACATTTTTTAAGTTCTTATGCAACATCTTTCCAGGGAATCAGGTATGCAGATGTGTCTCAGCGATATGCTATCTTACCTACATGAGGTATGCTCTGTTTGGTATGTTGTAGACTCCAATGCTTATATGGTCTGAGTGGTTTAATTTATGCCTGGCAGAGTCATGTGCGCCTTGTTTTGTCCTCGTTCCATAGCGATAATAGCACTGAAAGATTGAAAAGGTATAATGAATCGACAATATCATTATACCAAACCATACCACGGGCGGAGTTAGAACCCGCGATCTCTCAAAAACCCCAGACCGACGCGTTAGCCATTGGGCCCTGTGGCAGTCCACGGTTCTTTGAAGAGGAATGTAAGATCATTACGCAGAAAACGTGCAGCACGCAGTCTTAACTGGTTTTGAGGTGGTCAGTCCTTCAGCCTGGAGAAGAATTATGCTCCATATGCTGGAACAATGTAAAGCTGAAACACCGGAATGGACACTTGCATCTCGTCCAAGGTGAAGCGCAGAAATTCTTGTAGAAGCACGAATGTAATCATTGAGAGGCAGGCTCTGGTGGCCTGGTGGTTAACGCTCTCGCTTCACACGGTGAGGGTCTGGGTTCGATTCCCAGCCAGAGTAGAAGCATTGGACGTGTTTCTTTCCACCTGTTGTCTATGTTCCCCATTAGTAAAATGGGTACCTGGGTGTTAGTCGACTGGTGTGGGTCGCATCCTGGGACACTGACCTAAGGAGGCCTGGTCACAGACCGGGCCGCGGGGGCGTTGACCCCCGGAACTCTCTCCAGATAAACTCCAGATACCACGGGTGGGGATAGAACCCGCCGTCACAGAGTCATAAAACTTCAGATCGACACGTTAACCACTGGCCCAGCTAGCTACAATAAAATTAATCCAGCTAGGTACATCTGTACACCATAGGAAGTTTTATGACTCTCTGTCCGCGGGTTCTATCCCCGCCCCGTCTGCAATCGTGTCATTTCGATTTCGTGAGTCGTCATATTTACGCTGTACTTATGGAAGATGCAATAGGCAACACAAAGATATGGAAAATGACGTTGTTGAAAAACAAAGGTATATGAGACAAAGTTAAACGGAGTCTACAAGTCGTCGCAGGAGACAGGCAAATCGAACGAGTCATTAACTTTACTGTCTTGGAGGGATATTAACCGGGGTTAGCCATACCCCTTAGTGGCATCAGAACCAGATAATTGGGGTATTGGAATCCATCTCTGAACAATTTTCTGTTCTTCTATAAACATGGACGTGAACAGCTATTGCAACAAAGATGGGATAGTCAGAATGTGGCACATATTTCCAGTTGCGTGTACTGACACACCTTCAGAAAACACATTCGTAACATTTGCAAAGAACTGTCGAGATTCGAACCAGAGACAAAGTTAGCGTTAGTCCTATACGCAGCCGCTGGGCTCCCATGGTCACGCCAGATCTGCCAAATATATTCCATGATATTACTAAATTTGAAAAGAGAAACTTATGTTTTTCTTTTTGTGTCACCCTGCCTCGGTGGGATACGGCCGGTGTGTCACCCTGCCTCGGTGGGATACGTCCGGTGAGTCACCCTGCCTCGGTGGGATACGTCCGGTGTGTCACCCTGCCTCGGTGGGATACGGCCGGTGCGTCACCCTGCCTCGGTGGGATACGTCCGTGAGTCACCCTGCCTCGGTGGGATACGTCCGGTGTGTCACCCTGCCTCGGTGGGATACGGCCGGTGCGTCACCCTGCCTCGGTGGGATACGTCCGGTGTGTCACCCTGCCTCGGTGGGATACGGCCGGTGTGTCACCCTGCCTCGGTGGGATACGTCCGGTGTGTCACCCTGCCTTGGTGGGACACATCCGGTGAGTCACCCTGCCTCGGTGGGATACGTCCGGTGTGTCACCCTTCCTCGGTGGGATACGTCCGGTGTGTCACCCTGCCTCGGTGGGATACGTCCGGTGTGTCACCCTGCCTCGGTGGGATACGTCCGGTGAGTCACCCTGCCTCGGTGGGATACGGCCGGTGTGTCACCCTGCCTCGGTGGGATACGTCCGGTGAGTCACCCTGCCTCGGTGGGTTACGTCCGGTGTGTCACCCTGCCTCGGTGGGATACGTCCGGTGTGTCACCCTGCCTCGGTGGGATACGTCCGGTGTGTCACCCTGCCTCGGTGGGATACGTCCGGTGTGTCACCCTGCCTCGGTGGGATACGTCCGGTGTGTTCACCCTGCCTCGGTGGGATACGTCCGGTGTGTCACCCTGCCTCGGTGGGATACGTCCGGTGTGTCACCCTGCCTCGGTGGGATACGTCCGGTGTGTCACCCTGCCTCGGTGGGATACGTCCGGTGTGTCACCCTGCCTCGGTGGGATACGGCCGGTGTGTCACCCTGCCTCGGTGGGATACGGCCGGTGTGTCACCCTGCCTCGGTGGGATACGGCCGGTGTGTCACCCTGCCTCGGTGGGATACGGCCGGTGTGTCACCCTGCCTCGGTGGGATACGGCCGGTGTGTCACCCTGCCTCGGTGGGATACGGCCGGTGTGTCACCCTGCCTCGGTGGGATACGGCCGGTGTGTCACCCTGCCTCGGTGGGATACCGCCGGTGTGTCACCCTGCCTCGGTGGGATACGTCCGGTGTGTCACCCTGCCTCGGTGGGATACGGCCGGTGTGTCACCCTGCTCGGTGGGATACGGCCGGTGTGTCACCCTGCCTCGGTGGGATACGGCCGGAGTGTCACCCTGCCTCGGTGGGATACGGCCGGTGTGTCACCCTGCCTCGGTGGGATACGGCCGGTGTGTCACCCTGCCTCGGTGGGATACGGCCGGTGTGTCACCCTGCCTCGGTGGGATACGGCCGGTGTGTCACCCTGCCTCGGTGAGATACGGCCGGTGTGTCACCCTGCCTCGGTGGGATACGGCCGGTGTGTCACCCTGCCTCGGTGGGATACGGCCCGTGTGTCACCCTGCCTCGGTGGGATACGGCCCGGTGTGTCACCCTGCCTCGGTGGGATACGGCCGGTGTGTCACCCTGCCTCGGTGGGATACGGCCGGTGTGTCACCCTGCCTCGGTGGGATACGGCCGGTGTGTCACCCTGCCTCGGTGGGATACGGCCGGTGTGTCACCCTGCCTCGGTGGGATACGGCCGGTGTGTCACCCTGCCTCGTGTGGGATACGGCCGGTGTGTCACCCTGCCTCGGTGGGATACGGCCGTGTGTCACCCTGCCTCGGTGGGATACGGCCGGTGTGTCACCCTGCCTCGGTGGGATACGGCCGGTGTGTCACCCTGCCTCGGTGGGATACGGCCGGTATGTCACCCTGCCTCGGTGGGATACGGCCGGTGTGTCACCCTGCCTCGGTGGGATACGGCCGGTGTGTCACTCTGCCTCGGTGGGATACGGCCGGTGTGTCACCCTGCCTCGGTGGGATACGGCCGGTGTGTCACCCTGCCTCGGTGGGATACGGCCGGTGTGTCACCCTGCCTCGGTGGGATACGTCCGGTGTGTCACCCTGCCTCGGTGGGATACGGCCGGTGTGTCACCCTGCCTCGGTGGGATACGGCCGGTGTGTCACCCTGCCTCGGTGGGATACGGCCGGTGTGTCACCCTGCCTCGGTGGGATACGGCCGGTGTGTCACCCTGCCTCGGTGGGATACGGCCGGTGTGTCACCCTGCCTCGGTGGGATACGGCCGGTGTGTCACCCTGCCTCGGTGGGATACGGCCGGTGTGTCACCCTGCCTCGGTGGGATACGGCCGGTGTGTCACCCTGCCTCGGTGGGATACGGCCGGTGTGTCACCCTGCCTCGGTGGGATAACGGCCGGTGCGTCACCCTGCCTCGGTGGGATACGGCCGGTGCGTCACCCTGCCTCGGTGGGATACGGCCGGTGTGTCACCCTGCCTCGGTGGGATACGTCCGGTGTGTCACCCTGCCTCGGTGGGATACGGCCGGTGTGTCACCCTGCCTCGGTGGGATACGGCCGGTGTGTCACCATGCCTCGGTGGGATACGGCCGGTGCGTCACCCTGCCTCGGTGGGATACGGCC